AATGACTATGAATTGTGTTTGATTGAAATTGCATTCACTTCATCTAATATGTTAATGTAATAACTAATATCTAATAACACACAAACTATAATTCTAACACTAAACATTATTACACGTACTATAATTTCCTGACTAGGGGTGCACTTTTGGCTTAAATCCCTAACACATCACGCTCTTCAGACCCTCCTACTGTTCCCAGGAAAGATGACGGAATGTTTTTATTGCCACCGGAAAGGCCATTTAATCGCAGATTGTCTCTTACTCAAGAACAAGAAGTCACCCCCGCTGTCCCGTAAGAGTGTTGGTTTAACTCTAAGAAAAAGTCTGTTTCTTACCCGCAAGCTACAAGTGCTAGCGAGGCTCTTGCAGGAAAACCAGACCTGGTGTATGCTCCGTTTGTGTCTGTCGGGAGTGTTTCATGCACAGGAAGAACTGAAGACCAAAGAGAAATTAAAATTCTACGTGACACTGGTGCGGCTCAGTCAGTTATCCTTGCAGATGTGTTACCCTGGTCTGACCAGACATACTGTGGTTCACACATCCTTTTGTGTGGCATTGAAGCCAACCCAATTGCTGTGCCTTTACACTGGGTTCATATGCATTCTGATTTAGTTTCAAGTCGGTTCCGTGTTGGGGTGGTGCCTACACTAGCAGTGGAAGGGGTAGCACTATTACTTGGAAACGACATTGCTGGAGGTAAGGTGTCTCCAGTACCAGAAGTAACAGACAGGCCACAACCTAATGGTTCTGACATTGTCTTGGTTCAAAAATACCCTCAAGTGTTCCCTGCATGTGTTTTAACAAGGGCACAAGCTCGCATGCAGGGGGATACAGTGAATTTGTCAACTATTTTTGAACAGGTTGAAACTGTAGAGGTCCAGCCTAAAGCAGAGAAATGACCTTCTCTGCAGGCTGTAAAAGGGGGAAGCGGAGTCAATCCCCAGTTAGGTGATGTGTTGTCATCCATCACACCAGAGAGACTGATTGAGTGGCAAAAAGAGGATGTCAGTCTCGATAAATGCTTTAATTCTGTGGTCTCTTTTGAAAAGGCAAAAGTACAGAAGACTGCTTACCTTGTGGATGCTGGTGTTTTAATGCGTAAATGGGCTGCGCATAAAACAGGTGAGGACTGGGATACAGTTTGGCAGGTAGTGGTTCCGTCACCAATGCGACAGCAAGCACTGTCGCTGGCTCATAACCCTGCATGGTCCGGACATTTAGGGGTAACTAAAACATACAACAGAGTCCTCCAACATTTCTTCTGGCCAGGATTAAAATCTGACATTGTGCAATACTGCAAAACCTGTCATGTGTGTCAACTTACAGGGAAAGTGAACAAACCTGTTCCTCGTGTGCCACTTCACCCGATTCCGGTGATTGGAGAACCGTTTGAGCGGGTGAGTATTGACTGTGTGGGTCCATTCCCAAAATCTCGAACCGGTAACCAGTTTCTGCATACCATTATGTGCAGTGCCACTCGGTATCCATAGGCAATTCCCCTCCGGACAATTACAGCAAAGACCATTATTAAGAGTTTGATCAAGTTCTTTTCCACCTTTGGTCTCCCCCGAGTGATCCAGACGGATCAAGGCACTAATCTCATGTCCAAACTGTTTTCTTCGGCATTAAAAACATTGTCCATCTCACACCAGCTCTCAAGCGCCTACCACCCAGAGAGTCGGGGGGCTCTTGAGCGCTGGCACCAGACACTGAAAACCATGCTGAGGAAGTATTGTATGGAAACAGGTGCTGATTTGTGGGGTGCCCTTTGTTTTGTTTGCTGTTAGGGAAACTGTACAGGAATCATTGGGGTTCAGCCCTGCTGACCTCGTGTTCGGACACACGCCTAGGGGTCCGTTAAAAGTGTTAAAAGAGCATGTTCTATCTGATGTGCCTAGTAGCACCCCTAAGAATGTGTTACACTTTGTAAGTCAGATACGGGAGAGGCTGCATGCTGCCTGCATGCTAGCTCAGCAGTCTCTCTCTTCCTCTCAGACACGTATGAAAAAACGGTATGATAAACAAGCAAAAGACCGTGCATTTGTGCCAGGAGATCAAGTACTGGTTTTGTTACCAATCCCAGGGTCATCACTGTCTGCCAGTTTTTCTGGACCGTATGTTGTGGAGCGCAAAGTCAGTGACACAAATTACATAATCAAAACACCAGATCGTAGGCGCACTTCTCGTTTGTGTCACGTGAACATGTTAAAAGCCTATCATGTGCGCGATTCTTCCGACAGCCCCTCTAGTGCTCCTGTTCAGTCTGCGGGCTCCAGCATGGCGTTGGTGGTGCCTGTGCCTGCTGTGGACCTAGAGGAGAACAATACTGATGGTTTGGAATTGCGTCACTCATTACAACAGTGTAAACGTCTCGGTAATTCAGAGATGCTAGAAAACTTACCTTCATTAATAGAACATTTGGACGACAGTCAAAAAGATGATCTTGTGTCTCTAATATAGACGTTTCTTACAGTGTTCCAAGATGGAGCCAAGAGCATGTCTGTTTTAACGCACGACGTGGATGTCGGCAGTACACATCCTATTCGCCAGCATCCATATCGGGTAAACGCAAAAAAACGAGAGTTAATGAAAGGTGAGGTGGACTACTTGTTAAAACATAACATGGCAAAACGTTGTCACAGTGCTTGGAGCTCCCCGTGTATTCTAGTTCCGAAACCAGACGGTACGTCCCGTTTATGCACGGACTACCGTCGAGTAAATGCAGTAACTGTGCCAGATTCCTACCCGCTGCCCAGGATCGAAGACTGTATTGACCGAATTGGTTCAGCTGTGTTTGTAAGTAAAGTCGATTTGCTTAAAGGTTATTGGCAGGTGCCTCTAACCCCACGGGCTTCTGACATTTCGGCTTTTGTGACACCCGATAATTTTGTACAGTATACAGTTATGCCATTTGTAATGTGCAATGCACCCACTACATTTCAGCGTTTAGTTAACATGGTGTTTGATGACGTTCCTAACTGTACGGCTTACCTTGACGACGTAGTAATACACTTACCCACATGGGCTGAACACCTCTCCACGTTGAGGTTGGTGTTCCAGCGTTTGGAAAAAGCTTCATTAACCCTTAACTTGCTAAATGTGAATTCGG